GGTTAGTCAAGGGGACAGCACAGCCATGGCTGAACCACCTATTTGTACCACATCCTGTGCCCACCACCTTGTGTAAACAAAGCCTTAACATAGAACTAAAACCGAAACCTATTTTTTTTCTAAATTTTGGATAGCGCACAGGAAGGGTGTAACCCCAGTCAGTTTTTTTATGATCTGTGTTCCATCGGGAGGTTTCCCTTCACTTCTTTTCCCACAGCAACAACAAAAAGAGAAAGGAAATCCCTCTAAAATGAGGGATCTGCCACTAAGGTCACCAGATCTAGTGGAACTAGTGTTCCATTTGGAAGATTTCCACTCCTGTTCCTGTTCTGGTGAGAACTCAAAATGTGGGATTTCCTATCACTTTTACTTTTGGTGATTAATGGTCTACAGGACAAAAAGAAAGGATGTATCTCCCTAACAGGGACAGCAATAAAAACCTGATGTGTTCTGATCCCTCTCCACTGTATCCAAATGTTTTGGATGTAGTTGCTCTTTAACCTCCTGTATTCTGTATTCTTTGTGTTGCTCTTTTATGCGAAATACATGTTGATCCTGCCAGCTCCCCTGCTTTCCTATTTCAAACTGATCACACCAGGGCATGGAAGCACATCCATGCCAGCTTCTTTACATTCTATTTAGGAGCACAATCTGCTTGTAATCCAGTGGTCAGACTTGTAATGATATGCCTCCTGCACAGCTCAACACTGGGAAGATCAGTGTACTGCTGCTTTTCTACCTTCTGCTGATATGTCCTCCCTGCATAGCTCCCCACTTGGAAGATCAGTGTTCTACTGTTTCTCTGCCTGCTGGTGACTTGCTACCTGTACAGCTCCCCTCAGTGTAGACCAGTGGACTGCAGTTTATCTGCCTCTTGCTGACACACTCCCCCCCCACACACCTATTTTAAACTGAATGGGTTGTTTAACAAGATAAAGGTTCACATATAATTCAACCAAATCTTAACCCCTGATCCTTGCAACCTTATTTTAAATTCTAACAGTAAATTACCTTCTTTCAACTGTTCTTATTTTGTCCTTTCCAAAACACCCAGCCAGGATCAGTACCACTATCACCTAGAGGCAGCACATTAATGCAGCCATCTCTAGCTATTGGAGACACTGGGAAACTAGCTACTGCCTACAAAATATTTCTAACTTGATTAAAAATTTTCAGGGATGCGTATAACCTTTGCCTGCAGTAGTGAAGAGGGAAGAAGAGTAGTCTAATACATTGGCTATCGGCAGAAGTATGATGCTCCAATTTATTTATTTTTTATTTATTTATGGTACTTCTATAGCGCCATCAATTTATGTAGCACTTTACACATATATTGCACATTCACACCTGCTTCTTGGAGCTTACAATCTAAGAGTAGAATGAAACATTATTTTTTATTTATCACAAAATTGTTAAAAGGTATTCAAATTAAGCAATTTATTCCAACAATCAGAATGAATGGATCAGTTGTGATATGTTCATCAGAACTATTTTCCCTCCAAGAGGTCCCTGTACTACCCCAGTAGTTTTTCTGTAGATATGTGTCGAGAACGGTGTTTATCTTCTCTCAACAGAATCTGCAAAGAAAAGACTTTAAGTATTGGAACCCTGTATGTAACTACAGAAAAAATAATATGGTGGTAGGGGAACCTCTTAGAGGGAAAATAGTTCTGGTGAATGTAACCCAACTGATGTGTTAATTCAGATTATAGGAACTAATTGTCTATTTTGCATACCTATTAATGGCTTTATGATCAATAAAAAGTATATTTTATTACGTTCATTGCTGTTACTTGTGAGCACTTCAAAGGTCCGGTTCATAGTCTATGGTTTATTAACATTTGTAGTTTATAATATATGTGACAAATAAGCCTTGTTCCCTAGTTTAAAACACTTACATAAATCTCCATTGTTCTGCATATCTCTCTCTGTTTATATATTGAGAATACACATTTATTCACCAGTTGCACAATTTGCTGATTAAAGACCAAAATTTAAAAGGATATACATTTATGATTCTATACTGTGTTAAAACTTCAGCTTTGCATCAGTTACTTTTTACAATAATCTAAAAAAAGGTACTCATAAAAATTGTGGAGTAGATTGGGTGATAATGATCGTTTCCATGGGCAAATGAGATTCCTTTACCAAACAGTCGGAATGAAACAGAGGTCAGCCATGCTGGATATTATAAGCTAACCACCATTGTTTCACCCAGGGTAACTCCAATGTAGGAGATGTGCTCTCTCCTTCCTCTGTAGCAGTGGTCTCCAAACTGTGGCCCAGGGGCAAAAGCTAGCCGTTTGTCTGCCTGTATCCAGCCTGTGGAGTACTATTCCATCAGGGTAGACAAACAATAGGGCATAACTTATGTCACTGACAACAACAATGGGATACTATTCTGCCCACTGACACTAATGATAGGGTACAACTCCTCCCAATGACAACAACAATGGGACACAATTGCTTCCTTTAACACCGACGGGGAACTATTCCTTCCAATGACAGCAAAATTGGGCATCATTTACTTCCACTAATACCAGGACATTTTCTACTCCCACTGGCCAAAATCCAGCCCTCCTACAATTTGAAGGACAGCAAACTGACCCTTTGTTTAAAAAGTCTGGAGACCCCTGCTCTATATGCACAAACATGAATGCTTGGACAATCTAAAAATGTATGCTTTTGCAGTTATCTGTCAAAAAATCAACAGTTACAATTATCCTCCAATGTATATAGCTAACTTAAAAAGATAACTGAACTTTAAATGATCCTGCTGCAATATAAATCAATTTGCCCTTCTCATTAAATACCAAAATAAAATATAAAAACCTAGGATTCCAGCCTCAGGACAGCATTTACTGCTTCCATTGTGCTAGGGGCCTATTCAATATGATGCTGGCACTATGCAGGTTGTACACCCTGACAGGTAGTCACAGAAACCTTAGCAGCCAGAATGTTGCATTTTTTATGTATTAGTTTTCTATTAGCCCACTTGATGATAGAAGTAGCTTAATAATATAAAAAAAAAAACTACATTGCTACGTATTGGGGATTACTTGGATGGGGTTCGCCCTCAGTCTCTTCATTATTTTGTGAATTTTTGTGGGATGCCTCATGGAGAGATATTTCGTTATCATCAACTTCGCTCTTTTATTGATAGCAAACTTAGACTACTCGCAGAACCCTGTGCGCTTACTTCCCTTGAGGTCTCCTGTGGTGCAAGTGGAATGATGCGAGGTCGCTTGTCCATTGTTTATGCTTTTTGTTGGTTGATCCCTTAACTAAATTATCTTACATGATTCTATGGGAACGGGATTTAAATAGTTCATTAGATTTGGATACCTGGCGGACTGCGGCCCATGCCCTATCGAAGATTTCGATTAACACTGATCTTGTTGAATCTAACTACAAAACGCTACTTCGATGGTATTTGGTTCCTGCTCGCCTAGCCATAATGTATCCTTCTGTTTCATCTGGCTGTTTCCGACGCTGTGGTCAAGAGGGTACCATGTTCCACGTCTGGTGGAAATGTCCAGTCGTGAGTAGGTTTTGGATCCGCATATTTAATTTTCTTTACTCAGTGACAGGAATTAATATCCGTAGATCACTGGAAGTGGCCTTGTTTAATATACTACCCTCTGATGTTCCCAAAAAATCGATTAAATTAATTTTATATATCATATTGGGGGCTCGCATTACCATAGCTAGGAGTTGGAAACAATCCTTGATCCCACTGGATAGAGTGAAACAAAAACTCAACTGGATAATGGTTAATGATAAACTGACGAGTATCGTCACTGATGATGTGTCTAGATTTGAGAGGACTTGGGATCCTTGGATTAAATATATTACTGTATCGTGAGTGTCTGGCAGCTGACCCCCCCCCCCCCCTTCTTTATATATATATATATATTTTTTTTATCTTTCTTTCACTTAAGAGTACTTTCCTTTTTGTCTCTCTCTTCCTCTTTTTTTTTACTATTTGTTGAAACATTTTTTTTTTTCTTTCTGTTATTTTTGGTTCATTTTGGTTTAATTTTTGTTTATTGATCTATGAAACCTGTATGTTTTGATGGCTTTGACGTTTTTTATGTGAATTGTAATGCTATTATCTGCTAATCTTTTTATGTACCTACCAGTGTTATTATGATTATGATTCTACATCTTGTTCCACCATGTGGGTGGGCCCTTTTTTTTTTTCTCTTGTATTGTTTGCCATCTTGTTTTACGTTTTACTATGCTTGTTTCTCAATAAAAAATATTGAAATATAAAAAAAAACTACAATTATTCTTAACTTGTTCATTGATCCAAACATTTTGACCTAGCCCTAATACACATCAAGATTTCCCAGACTTGTCAGTAAATAGTAAAACATTTGTCATCAAAGGACAGGCTTGAAGACAAATATCTTCCATGATCATTTTCACACATTATCATTAACATAAAAAAGGATTGAATTAACATAACTATATCAAAGGGCCAAGATTCTAGCACTAATATCAAAGACCTGAGATTTTAGCACTAAAATAGCCAGTAGTGTGATAACTAGATTATGTGCTCCAACTCTTTAAAACTAGACAGCCCTTCACAGATAGCTTGTGGTACTTGTATTTCAAAATGTGGTTCCAGATTTTCCGTCTTCTCATTATATTCTGCACTACAGCTAAAACTGTAGGAAAAGAACTGAAGGCCAGTCGAAGAGCTAACAATAACTCTGTCATTACTCATCATCACTCCACAAGAATTATGGAAGGTCGTCAGAATTTTGTTTTTCATGACTTCTTTGCATATAAGGAACATGCCAATTTAGAAGCAAGAGAAAGGAATCCAGAAGAAAACAGAGTGGCCAAATTCAATCTTTTACCAAGAAAAACTGAAGGAGGAAAAAACCATAGCCAGGTAGAACGTGGAATATTCAACCCGAGAAGAAACAAAAAGAACTTCTTTATTCCTCAACGATTCAGAAAAAGAAAGGCAAACATACCCGAGGAGCAGAATGCAAAAAAATTCTGGAATTACTTTGTATATAAACTTAATGCAGCCCCAGGGGATTTCCCTCATCCTGTTAAAGCACAGGAAATACAGCAGGAAGTCTGCAAGACTCTTCCATTTTCTCAGGTGAGTAAATGTCTACAGATCTCTTTTTCTTAATGACATTTTGACCTTCGACCTATAATATATTATTGAATATCATCAAGATTCAAGTGAGAACTATTGTTTTAGAAACACATTAATTAAAAATCTAAAATAAAGGAGAATAGGCATGAATTAGCTTGTATACGCTATGCATTGATGTTCAATTCCATATTTGTGCTTTAAATCTTGAAAAAAAAAACTTGAAAAAATCTGTTATAAGGTGAACACTCTACATAAAACTGTTGCTCTTTAGAGTGCACCAGTTTTTGCTATATAAGGCATCCTGGAGACTGTGCCATTCAAAAATTTGGTTCAGGTTCAGTTTAAGTAAGAATGTGTATCTTTTGTGAAATGGAGAATAGCTGGGACGTTGGCAGGGGCGGACTGACAACTCATGGGGCCCCCGGGCAATAGGGGATCATGTGGCCCCTGTGTCCTTGCCCAAACTCAAAAAAGCCTATGAAAAAGGTACCAGGGGCATCTCATGGGGCCCCCTACTGACCCCGGGCCCTCGGGCAGTGCCTAAGTTTCCAAATGGTCAGTCCGCCCCTGGACGTTGGTCTATTTCAACTCTTAAACTACCAAGGACCATGAAGAAGAAACGAGAGGGCCACATACAGTCCAAATAACTCCAGGTAAACATGCCTGGTTTATATCATTCATAAGTTAAACATATGCTTTAGATGAATGTTGTTTACATATATTCATATTATGTACAGTGAAATGACAAAATATAGGTTTTGTTATGTTACGTCATTCAACAAAAATAGTTTGATTGACAGAATATTAGAAAGAGGCTGCCTCTCTATAAAGGGAAAAAGTTGGCATTGCTCTATAGCACAGATGTCAAACTGGCAGCCCTCCAGCTGTTGCCAAACTACAAGTTCCACGCGGCATTGCAAGCATGACTCCCAAAGGAAGAGGCTTGATGGGACTTGTAGTTGCTCAACAGCTGGAGGGCCGTCAGTTTGACACTCCTGCCTATAGTAATATTCAGAAGACCCACACATTTTAGAGGGTTATCTAGCACAACCTTTCTCAACCAGGGTGCCCAGGCACCCTGGGGTGCCTTGGGGTTTCTTCAGGGATGCCTTGGCAAATTTCTAAAAATTGCCCAAAACTTGTATACAAGTCAAAGGGTGGAACAAGCCTACCTTTTAGTTACACAAAGCCACAGGTTTTCATTGAGCACCATTACGGCCTTCTAGCTGCCGGCGTGCTGACAACTAATGACATCATCAGTTGATAAGGAAGATGCCAGTTGTTTCCACAGCATCCTTGTTTGACCCTCCCCTGCCCCTCTCCATCAGTGCTGGGGTCACATTAGCTCAGTGATGGAAACTGAGGGAGAAGAGAAACGTTACCAGGGTGCAAAAGTGTATTTGCTTTGGCAGAATAAATCACCTCTAATGTTGGGTGTCTACATGTGTGGGTGTTGCTGTGTTACATAAAACTATTAGATTAGTTGTTCACATTTTAGAATGGGGTGCCCTTTAAAATTATGGGCAGTCTTGAGGCACCCCATTTTAAAATGTCCATAATTTTAAAGGGTGCTTCAGGACTGTCCATAGTTTTAAAGGGTGACTTGACTGAAAAAAGGTTGAGAAACAGTGATCTATCATATGGGTGCATGCCAACTGTCCCAACAGTGTACTGTTGAGTGATCCATAGAGCTGTTCATCTGACATAGTTAAGAGTATAGGTTTATGTCAATGGAAAGAGTAAGGGGTAGGAGATGGAAAGAAGAAAGAGACAGCATGAACACCAATGCAACCAACTCCTAACCTAGAAAATTAGCTAGTGATGACTCTGCAGTCACTCATAAACGCAAGGCTATTGTCAAACCTTGATAATAACAGCAAGATCAGGCAACTGCCCTCTGATATCCCTGAAAACCATAAAGTACCAATGTAGAGGGATTTTTGGAAGCTTATCAAAAACCTTTCAATCAATATTAATTTTCACCTAACAGGTTCAAATACTGTAAAGCACATACAAATGACTCTCCAGTGAAGCAGTACAAAGTCAAGTAATAATGTGTAAAGTACAGTAACCCATAGTACCCATCTAATCTCAGATGATCTGAGTACTGTAATCCTAAATATCATGGGCCACTGTGGATTATCTTTATTACTGGTATTATATTTTTGAATGACGACTTGAACAAACTTGTCTTTTAAATCACGTTCTGCTTGTTTGAAACCCCAATACAACAAGACAGGTATTTGACACTAAAATGTTCTGACTCATGGCAACAAAAGGTATTGGGGAAGTAAAGGTATTTAGCTGCATTGCAAAATAACAGCACTGCCCAAGAAAGGTATGCAAGCTAGGAATTAGTCAATGGCAGCTTCAATCACAGGTTTTTCACGCAAGTATTTTGCATTGCTATAAATTTTCTTTAAAATGAAAAAAAAAATGTATTGCTTAAAGTGGAACTTTAGTTAGAAAGTTAAAACCTGTTACATCACTTCAGGCTGGCCCCTTTTTCAGGTATAGCTATGTAGAACATTAAGAATAAGTGTCTATACTGTTTAAAATCCAGTAATACACTGTCTCACCCTGCTCTGCACATGCTCAGTTGCTCTCTATATTTCGGCACTGTGCCGAAGAGGCCAATCGGCTGACAGCCTAAAGATTTACTGCTGCTCAAAGGCTCTGGGCCTTAGCAAAATGGCAGTCGAAGAACGGGAATAATGCTGAAGGCAATTTACAGCACACACTAATTTTGGTAACATAATTATTAGGGCTCATGTACACTGCAGCTGATAAACTGACGTTTAGGAGCTGTTCTGCATTTTTTTTCAGCAGCCCCTGAACTCTCCCTAATGTTTTCCTATGTGTCCATGTACACATAGTCGTTTACAGTCATTTACAGGCAGTTGGGTTTACAGTCATTTTTTTTTGAACGCACCAAACTTGTGTTCATGAGTAGATTTTACCGGCATTTCAAATGCCAAACGTTTGTGAATGCGTGTAAATGCTTGTAAACGCAGTTAACGGCGTTTATAAGCGTTTGTGTTTAGCAGCGTTTTTTAACTGTTCCATGTCCAGATGCTGTCCAGAGCCTTTTTTCATCAACAGAAATGCATGCAAAGCATTTTCCAGGAACTCAAATGGACCTAGTACACCAGCGCAGTCAGTTCAAGGTTTTGCATGAAGGAAAAAAATGGTAGAACATGCTGCATTATGCTCATGATGAGATCCATAGTGAATACAACCAGAAAAGACAGGTAATCTTAACACATGCTGCTCTCTCTGCTTCTGCTCTCTCAATTTCTCTCAAAATGTCTGAAATAGTTAATTTTTTTACTATTTTTCAGTGCATTCTGGGCATTTGGAAAGGTCTCCTGAGGTTATCTTTAAAAAACGCTTCTAAACGCAAACGCTCATAAACGCGGTATGCAAACGTGGCTAAAGTGACGTTTTTTAACCTACGTTTTCCAGCAGTCAGTTTCCATCATTCAGAAAAGTTTTCCAAACGCCCCGTACACATGAGCCCTTAATATGGAATGTATGTTCCTTGCTAAAGAACATTATTTTTTATCAAGTTGTTATGAGTAAAGCTGCGCTTTAATGCTGAACATATAGTGCCAATGTAGCAAACTATGGAACTTTCTGTTTGACATCTACATATATCTTTTATTCACAGAATATAACACATGAGAATTGTGATGAGGTGGGGATACAAAATAATCTGTGCTTTGGCAAATGCAACTCACTACATGTACCGAACCAGAGAGAAGAACGCAACATATGTTCTCATTGTCGACCATTTAAATTCAGAATGAACCACCTTAGACTGAACTGCACAGGATCCACCAGTGTACTGAAAGGTGTTATGATAGTTGAAGAATGCAAATGCACGGTCCAAGACACAGCAACCATGGAATGAGGAGCTCTTGTGGACATCAATAGAACTTAATGTGAAGCTTGAAATCCTCATCTGTTAATAGAACTTGGTCTAATGACAATACTCAAGGAACCAATTGGACATTTCCTTTAAAATATGATCCATAAGTAATTAGAGGGGAGAAGAATATAGGCATTTTATATGGCAAAATATAGGTTTTTTTTTTAGGCAAAAAAACTTGTACTGGCAGAAATACTGTTTACTGGATGCCATTGCTGACCTCCTTCTGGAAATGTTAGCTCCTTCGCTGTGTCTGGCTTTAGTACTTTCTTAGTCACTGAGCCTTCACAAGGCTGCAGGCAGCGAATTCAGAACTCCTGATCTACAATTTGATGTGAGTCATTGGATCAACTAACATTTTCAGAAATGTCAGAATTGGCAATTATTATATTTCTTGCAGTCCATCCATTCACGATTCTCCTTGGATCTATAGTTGCTAGGTTTTTGTATCTCAGTGTCAGTTTGTCACATTAAGTTAGAAGAAAATTAAAAGAGAAAAGAAAAAAACTCAGACAAGAGGTTAAATGGAGAAAGATGTCTTTATTTGGTGGCTCCAAATTAAAGAGAGTCTCAACTTTTGTTGTAAAACAATTAGATAAATTATATGATTACTGCATATGCCATTTTATAGTTTAGCCACTTGCAAAACCACAGCACACAGCAGGTAAGTATGAAATGTTTGGGTTTTTTTTTCCATTTGAAACCTTTAGAATCACTATAAATACCTCATATCTGGATCACTACTTATTTAACCACTTGCCCTCCTGAGGATATGGGTATATCATGACCAGGTCATTTTTTGCGTTACGGCGCTGCGTTACTTTAACTGACAACTGCCTCGGTCATGCAACGTTGCACTCAAATGAAATTTATGTCCTTTTTATCCCACGAATAGAGCTTTCTTTTGGTGGTATTTGATCGCCTGTGCATTTTTATTTTTTCGCTATAAACTAAAAAAAACCAACAATTTTGAAAAAAAAAACTATATTTTTGACTTTTTGCTATAAAAATTGCCTAGTAAAAAAAAATTTTAAAAATCAAATTTCATCATAAATTTAGGCTAAAATGTATTCTTCTACATGACTTTGCTAAAAAAAAATCCCATTACATGTATTATTATTATTATTATTATTATTATACAGTATTTATAAAGCGCCAATAGTTCGCTCAGCGCTGTACATTACAAAGGGGACAGAACATGTGACAGAACAATACCAATACAATGCAAAACATGAGGGGATCGAGGGCCTGCTCTTTCAAGCTTACAATCTGGTTATGGCGTTTACAAATGGCGGTATTTATACTGGAATTTTTTTTTTTTTTACTAGTAATGATGGCGATCAGCGACTTATAGCAGGACTGCGGTGGGCATTCTGACACTGGGGGGAACTGACTTGGTTTCACTGACATCCCCAGTGACACCAATACAGTGATCAGTGGTAATAAAAAGCACTGACACTGTACTAATAGCACTGGGCAGGAAGGGGTTAACATGAGGGGCGATCAAAGGGTTAACTGTGTGCTGTATTACTATGTGGGCTGTGTGTTTCACTGTAAGCACACTGCTTTGTATGGCTCTGCTATGCAGAACCATACAAAGCAGTGTGCAGGAGCTGCCAGGGGAGAGATCTGTATTGTTTACATACATTTCTCTCCCCCATTGGAAATCCTTGGAGATCGCCTAGTGATGGCAGGGACCCGGTGATTGACAGCCAAGGCAGCGAATGGCGGTGCAGGTAGGGTGCGCACCCCTCCTACCCAGAACTGCAAATCATGTATATATACTTGTATATATGTGATTTTGCACACCCGTGCCACCCTGTAGCAGTAACCGGAAGCGGTTAATGTTATTAAAAATTATATTTGCCTTTCTTTCTGTAGTCAGCTATGACTTTTTTTTCAGCTGCTAGTTGCTATCCAAGGGTGACAGTGCTCACTTACTGCACTATATCTATGATGCAGAACACACATTGTCATGCTAGGCATCCAGCCCTCTAAGGCTCAGTTCACACTAGTGTTGAAAGCAGGCGGTTGAGGGGCATTTTTAACGCTCCTCAAATGCCTATGAAAATGATACACATGGCAGCACACAGTGCTGTTCACACTGAAGCTGGGGGAATTTACAAGCTCACAGGATTCCTAGCAGGATCAGTGGGATCTTTTGTACTTGCAATATGTGTAAACTGTAAACGGTCCTTCCTTCTGTATCATTACCTTATATATTAAAGCAGAACTCCTGGCAAACAACTAAATACACAGATGAAATACATATATGAGAACTGTTTTTAACTTGCAAAGTGTTTGTGTTTCTGCCCATCCAGTCCTAATATTTTACACAGTCCTGTAAACAGCCTAGCCAGGCAGATGCCATCACTATCTCTGCAATAGTTATTGACTGCAGAAGGAATAAAGTGACTGATGAGGTCATCTGTCTGCTCATTCAGCTCCCTCTTAATAATATCAGCATGTTACTTTCAGCACCTTTGGATACAATGCATCCGATTAGCTCCCACTCCTGTCCTACCCCCCCCCCCCCCATCCTAGTCTGTGTGCTGCTGTAGGGGGCTGCAAGAGGATGATATCACTGCAAAATCAGGTACTTACACTAGTTTCCTTTTTCAGCTCTCCTTCTCTCTTCCCCTTCTCTACTCTCTCCCTTCCCCCTTCCTCTCTCTCTCTCTTTTCTTCTCCTTCTCCTCCTCCTCCTTCTCCTTCTCCCCTCTCTCTTCCCCAAAAAATACCTTTAATATTAATGAATACCTAGCTGCTCTAATGTAAAAGACTGTAAACTCCTCTACTTTCTATAGATTAAAAAGATTGCCAGGTGTATGGTGTGGAGACACACTGCAAATGCTCAGTTTGGTGTGTATTGCTAGGGAGGTTTTTTTTTTTTGTGATCAGCACAGAGCCAATCGGCACTGTCCAGACAGAGGTCAGGGGTTCTGCATCCTCCTAGAGCAGAAAGAAAACTCCTCCTGCAAGCTTTAACCAGTGCTCTGCAGAACAATGATAGAAGTCACAAGACTGCTCTAACTGCTGACGAGAAAAGGTATTTAGCAGTTTATAGCAGTTTATATTTACTATAATAATTGCATTCCCATGTAGCGTGTACTGTGGGGGACCAGATATAGTGAATGCACGGTCCTGGGTTTAGTAACACTTTAAGTCGGCCATATATGGATTGAAATTCAGCCTGCAAATTCTGAGCAGCAGCCAGCCGGTCGGGTTTTTCCTAATTGATCTGTGCTGTCGTCGGGGGGGGGGGGGGGGGGGGGGTATCAATGCATTCTGATGTCAGGGAGGGCTCTTCACTGTCAGAATACAATAATTTAATGGGAGTGATTCCCCTATTCACAAAGAATGAATAAATGTATGGCCTGCCTTACACTCTGGATTATTCCCTTATATATGTGTGTATACTCCTCTCGTTCTACAATTTGTATCTTTTTGTAAACATAAAGAGATTGTGAAATCGGACCTTCTATATCAGCCCCTTGCTGTATATTTCTTTTATAGATTTAGAGACTGCAAACTCTTTTACATTCTGTATCATTCTTTGGATTGTAATTAACTTTACTGTACAAATACTGTTATGTCACCTTTTATGTATACTGTGCAAACCAGAAAAACAAATATAATAAATTACTCAAATTACAAAAACCCCACATCCAAAGGAAATCCTCACCCTCTTTTGCAATGTATGCTGACAGTGCAAGATTGGGTAACTTGCTAATGAGTAGTTGAAAACTGTATTCTGTATTTTTTGTGTAGGCAGGTTGCCTATTTGAAGCTAGTTCATAGTCTGCTCTGGAGGGTGAGCATTAATGTTGTATTGTCGTTCTTTGCGGGCTTTCTAGGGCCTGACCAATTAGTCCTGTGTGGATATAAAAGGGACTTGGGTCCAGGTCCCAGGAGAACCCTCTCGCCTCCCGTGAAGCTGAATCCGGAGTCCTGCTGTTAGGTCCCATTCCTGTTTCCAGATGGTCGCCTGCCTCCAGCCTTCACCCACCACCTTGGGGAACTGCTGGGACCTTCAGTCCACCCTGAGGACAGCTGCTGGATACTGCCAACATGGACTCACCCAAGCATGGACTCTTTGCTCTGCAAATACGCTGGAACCACCACAAGCCTGGGTTAGGGACTAGGGTCATTAGGGAAATACTGCACTTTCAAGTTGTAATGGTCAGAACTTTCAGTAAAGCTTTTGAAACTTTCCGTTTGCCTGGTCTGAAGTTACTAAAGGGGTGTGTGCAAGTAACCGGCCCACACATGTAGTTTCCAGCCTGGGTCAGAAAGCACATTTGAGGATGAAGACAGTGAGTGGTTACCAAGGGTAACGGAGGTCTAACAAGCATACTGTCATGAAGCATGTACCTCTGAGAGGTGGGACAACCTCCTGTAGCAAGGGAGTTGTTGTCAGCATTATCTCCCCTGGAGGTCCATCTGCACTAGCAATGGGAGCAGCTCTCAAAGGTCCCCAGCCTGGGCACAGGTATGAAAGAGTTAAGTGAGTGCACTCATGGAGTCTGCGCTAGGTGCACATCAGGATTCCACTCTGTTCCTGGGAGTGAGGTAGTGGAAATACGCTGGACAGGTGCAATGGGCATTGGCTCAGCATGTACCTCCCAAATGCAACAAGTGACGGTAGGGTGTACATTAACACGGGGCTACAGAGAGTTAACTGAAGTTCAATCATCTGTTCAAGTGTACACAGGGTACGGCCATCTCAGTGATGGAAGTCCGCCT